TACTAAACCAGACGACGTGGCGCGAATAACCCGGTTGTTTTCCTAAGTCAAGCGAAATCTGAAAAAGAGAGAAAGCAAAAAAAAAAAAAAGTTCACCTCGTCTTGGTTGAAAAACCACCAGCTCCTTTTTAAAACAGCACTTTAAGCCCCCCCCCCCCCCCCCCCCCCCCCGTTATGAAAAGCAGTCCCCCCTCCCCCGGCTACTGAAGGTTGCGATGATGATCCGCCTTTATTGTGAGGACGGGCACCCAAATTTCGCACAACAAGGGCTTGGGCGAAAGCCTAAGCCTGCTTAAAGGTATCGCGTCACTCGCATTGTACAGCCGGTACTAACTCAGACGACGTGGCGTCAGTAACCCGGTTGTTTTCCTAAGTCAAGCGGAATCTGGCCTCCAAGCTTTGTCTTCACATTCAATCTTTTTGTATAGGTGTGCTGTCGCTTTGGCCCTGGTCTTCTTTTCTTCTTTTGCCATCCGGCAACGTCAATGTCGCCTTGCTCCAAGGTACGATGCTTAGGTCACGGATGGGCCTCGTCTACGCCCTGCTATTTTTTTTTTCTGTCCCCTCTCGGCAAGCTGGCATAACAAGAAAACGCGAGCTTTCTACAGGTTCCGGAAAGAGACGTCGTAATTTAGGAAAATGAGAGCAGCTGCAAAACTAAGGAGCAATGTTAAAAAAATAATTGCACTGAAGTAGTTCGAGACAATGAGCAGAAAATTATATCTTACACATTACGCAAAGAATAATTTAATTGCCGCAATATTATCACAGTGGCGTCATTACTCTCATCCGTGGATGTCATCATGCGTTTCATAGCCAGACAGTAGATCGGGTGGTAGAACCGCAGTTCCGTCGTTCCGTTCCTCTCCAGCTCGGCCACGCCTCAGTCAATGGACATTTTTCAGGAGAGTGGGGGGGCAAACACTCAAGCTCCGCCTGATGGGTACAACAGCATACCGTGAACTCGCTCAATTACTAGTTCATTAATTAGTACATCTCTCGTTACACACACTTCTAATCATACAGTATGCTTTGTTTCGTGCTGAGCGTAGGTCGTTGCCAAACCTACTAGCGTGATTTTGTTTCTTCTTCTTCTCTGTTTCCCTTCTTCTTTCAACTGGCTGTTCGTGATTAGAGCTGGTGGCCCGTATCGTTGCCTTCAACCCAGATTCAGTTGAGATGAAATACAGAGCATGGCGGCTTGATTGTGGCTTCGACAAAGCCGCCGCAATCAAGCCGCCATGTTCTTCCCGAAAGCGGTGCGGGGCACGCGCTGCGTGCATTTCTACAACAATGAATGGCGCTACTTTTAACACACAAGGGGCTTTTTGTAGCAGTCGATGGCAGCGCCGCGGCATGGTTTCGACGTGAACCTTGGGAGTTGCGCTACTCTGGAAAGATTCAGTGGCTCGACGTTTGGACCAATCTGAATGTTTCGCTCAGAAGTACCACCACTACCGCGACTACTGCGCCGGCTTTTCCGCGGAACGGGAGCCTTAACGCTATCGCGTTAAAATTAAGTCGTTGCGAAATAATATGAGACTATTTCCCCGGTCACAGCATCTCCGTGGTAACCCATGAATCTGCACATGCTGCGCGAGTTTGGCGGGTGCTTTTGGATGAGGTCAGGTTTCTGCGCATTCTTACTTTATTTTGCTCAAGCAGAACGTCTAACCGATCTCACTTGTTGTTTGCATGCGTATAAAATTTCGACCGCAGGGAACAGCGCGGAACCAGAAAACACACGTTGATTGGCGCCATCTGTTGCAAAGAAAGCAAAACAGAAATGTGGAAGCGGATTTCGAAATGGGGGCGGGAGCGAAGGTCTCCGTAAAAGGATATTTTAACGCCATAGAGTTAGAGCTCCCGTTTACCGGAAGAGCCAGCGTCCGTCAGGTTGCTTATTAGTGCAGGTCTAGTGTATGTTGTGTGTAGCGTTCGGCATGGGGAAGGCTGGTGGCGCATATCTTCGCCCTGCGTTTCTTCGGCACGAGGGCACGTGCGAACCAAATGCTGCACTTCGTCTCAACTGTGGATTGAAGCCAGAGCTACAGACCGCCAGCTCAACGAGGGCACGTGCGAACCAAATGCTGCACTTCGTCTCAACTGTGGATTGAAGCCAGAGCTACAGACCGCCAGCTAGTTGCGAGAAGAAGAGAAAGAAAGGAGATAGAAAACTACGCCAGCAGGTTTGACAACGATGAACGCTAAGCACGAAACGAAGCATGATGTATGACGAGGGGTGCGTGTGTGCATAATGAGAGTTGTACTAGTTAATGAAACAGTAATTAAGCGAGTTCAAGCTATCGCGTCACGCCCTTAAAGGGGAGCTTGAGTGTCCCCATCCCCAATTTGTTTTATTATGTTTACCGCCGAATTCAGAAACCTCACTCGAACTACACTCAAACTTAAGGGCCCCTTCACTTCCTCGAGGAAGGCACGAGGGCCGGCGCTGGCCAATCGCGACGGCGGATGCGTCTTCGCGATTGGCCAGCGCCGGCCCTCGCGCCTTCCTCGAGGAAGTGAAGGGGCCCTTAAGTTTAAATGTAGTTCGAGTGAGGTTTCTGAATTCGGCGGTTAGTGTATATTTGTCGAGTTTCGTTGTAGTTCAGCAAGAGGGCATGTCGGACGCGCCTGTGGGCACGCCCTTCCTTATTTCACTGGTGAGTAGAAGGGGAAAGGCGATCAGGCTTTCGCTTTCTATTTCTGCAAACACTAGCCCACTTAATCAAAATCAAATTCTTATATTAGGTTTTATGAAAATTTATGGTAATTTTAGGACGCGGCGTAGCAAATGCTTTAATGCATCTTGATGGTTCCTCTAACCAATTTAGCAAACGAGGAAACGTGGGCTACAGCTTGCAAGAGAGGCAGGCCCAGCTTCTGCAAGTCATCCTATCTCGGAGTCGCATCTTTCTCAACCTCGTTCCGTCCCACAGTACAACCAAATGGCAGTTACGGTCATGTCTGCAAGGAAGCTACTGATGAGTACTATTGCAGCGCCTTGCTGCTGGGTGAGGAACCGCGCACGCGTGCCTTTCCTTGTTTCGCCCCTCACGAGGTGCAAATCATTTTAATTTTTGCTATAAACCACTACTATCGTGCCGATGGTCATGTTTAACTTGGGTTGTCACCATTGTAATATTATAAAGACGTAACCTAATGAATTGCATTGGCCGTTGACGGTTCAGAAATACCCTTTTAAACCAGAAAAATTCGTAAACTCATGCTCCATGCGAATCATTTACCGGCTCCTATGACTCAGGTATGAACTAAGTGAAGAGCACAATGCTCCACCTCGATGACATCCAATCAACGCCATGACCAAATGCGCAAGTTCACTCTTTCCGCAGTTCGATGTCTCACGGAAGTCATTTACGACGGTTTTACAGGCAATATGTGACTTCACCTGCAGCCGGTACAGAGCCCGTCGTTCAAACCCGTCCTTTCCGCGAAATTTTATTACCTGCTCGGCGCTTTTGAAAAACACTCAGGATAAAACCTAATGGGCGCAGTGAGCGAGAGCCTGCGAGTAAATTCCAAAAGCAACCAACCAACTCGCACGAGACCGGGCCCATATGGGTTGTGCTCAAAATCTTTCGTGTGAGCACACGAGCTGCTTTGCCGAGCAATGTCACGTGACAGCAAAAAGGGGCCAACACTGAGCATAAGCAGATTTTCGAGCGCCAAGGTGACAGACGCTCGCTCTAGAGTTGTAGCGAGTAAATATTCGAAAACAGATACAGTGGCGGTTATAGTTCAAGCCTTTCACATTATACTACCGAAAAAATATTGGCTGCGTGCCCTCCGCCAGCATCGCAAATCTCCTTCGCTGTCAGCCACGCGGTTAAGAAGTTACAAACTTACGCGCGACGTCTTTAGGGACGTTGAAATAGATGTGGTTTTTGAAGAAATCAGCGGAGAAAGCAAAAGAAAATTTTCGCCACTTTTGGGAAGTGATGTCAGAGCTGCGTTGTATGCAGCTCCCTTGGCTAGGTGGCGCGAATCAACGCCCATTCCAATGTGTTCATGTTTAGGTATCATTCCATTTTACATAAAGAAAGTGACCGCCCCCCTCCCCTAATGTCCTTGACCGCGCCCCCAGGAACCGCCAAAACCGGTCGTCTGTTTGACCTTCGCTTTTGAAAGAACCTTTTCCCCCTCTCTTGTCCTCAACAAGAACCTTTTTCACCCCAAGTCAGCTTGAGAGAGGCCCAACAACTCTGCTTTTCTTTTTTTTTTTCGAACAGTTCGCGTTTTCACCGGAGAAAGCACCTTTGTAAAGGTTCAATTTTCGAAGGGGTTCTTTCTTGGCAAGAAGAACCAATGTCCAGTCGTTTGGCTCCTTTATTTCTGAGAGTGTGCCTACATGTTCCCGCCGCTCCGAAACATGTAGGCACCCTAGGTACCCCCAAAGAAGGGGATTCCCACAACTTTTGATTGGACGGTCACTAGCGCCACCTGTATTACTCATTTCCAGTTTTAATATTTGTTCCGCCTGCCATCTGGTAAGAAGTGGCAAAACCACACGCTTTTTTCCCCACCGGAAATCACGTGACTCGTTTCGTTTCCGGTCTTCTGTCGGGAGGTAGCACGAGTTACTAGTTAGAGATAGTAAAATACATTGGTTCTTCTTTTACGCTGGTAACGGTTACTACCGGTAGCTTCTTCACCCGGTAACCGTTACTAGCTTGACCGTTGCTACCTACGGTTTCTAGGTACCTTTGGTGACGTCAGAGAGTCGCACAAGCACCGTCCGCTAGATTTCGACACGGCAGAGATGCCGTGCAGCGTCTCGGCGATCGGTACGGTTCATTTGCCGGACACGGTAAGGAACCGGGATTTGTTTTTAGCGTAGTTTTTAACGAATATTTAGAAGCGGTGAGCCTGTAAAACATCTTTTTTTAACTTTGTATAATTGAGAGAACGGTTTAAGTTGACCTCAATCAACTAAATACTGAAGAGAGAGAGAGGAAGCGAGCAAAATGCGCGTATTATACTTCATTGAAACTGGTCACTTTCTTGCTGACGAAACGACCGCCTTTTTGCAGTAACCTGCATGGAAAGTTAAAAAATTAAGAAATTCAAAAACTTGCGAGAAAAAAAAAAGATTTTTTTTTAAATGTGGTAACGTACCTTTCCATAAGGTAAGAAAGCAGCTTGTTGCAGGCGAAAGTAATGGCAAGAGCGTAGGTTCCATACCTATGCCAAAGAGACTGATATCAGGAAGCTTTTTAAACAGCGTGAAGTTGAAATATAATGAATTAGCCGCAATACTCAAGAAAATTATTTTAAAATGCAAAGAATCTCGGGCCGTGGCTTCGTATTATTATTTCCAAATTATTGCTTCGTGATTGGTGCTTCGGCATTCTTATCCGATATTGCCGCAATCTCGTTAACTGCAAAGTGACAAAAAAAGAAAAAAAAATGCTCGGCACTCGCTAAGCACCGCGTTTCTTGGGCTGAACTAATTTTTTTTTTTTTTTACTCGAAAAGTGGTCAGGTATAAACTAATTTGCAGTAAAAATAAAGTAGGCCACCAGAGTGAAAAACGTATACAGAGCGCAAGTTCGTCTACTTCTTTTTGCAGGGGTTGTGATGACGTCAAAAAGACGCCGAACTCTGATTGGCTGTGATTGAAGAATAGTGGGTAGACCTTAAGGCAGCTTGCTTTGAGGTCTACCCACTATCCTTTGCAAAAGCTGCAGACGAACTTAATGCCCTCAATTCTCTATAACTTCCTTTGAAACTACCTGACTTCGTTGACAATATTTTGACAAGACATTGAATTTAAAAACAAACACACACATTTTCGCGTTTTGTTTTCTCAGGAACTTTTAATGTACATAGCATTCACTCGGCATTCGGCTTTTGTCAAGTTTTGTGTTTTTATTTCTCCGAGTCTAACAACAAATCTACAACGTGTGAATTTTTCAGAGTACGAAAGCTTAGCTTAGCGCGCGTGAAAGAAAGCATTGCCATAGCTTGCGCGCGAGCCGGATTGCTTTTCTCACACAGCATTAGCAAAAACGTTTTCTTTAATTTTTTTTTTTAGGGAAGACTGCGAAAATTTGTTTCGTAGGGCTGGTACCTAAATCCTCGTAGGCTTGAAGTATCTACATTCTACGACGTCATGATCAGTGCAAAGAGTTTTGGACACTGGGATCTGCGAACCGCGAGTCTAGAAAACTGCGATTCGGCAAACTTAACCGACTTAAAACGCCACGCGAACAGCGCAAAGGACTCTATCAAAGCGTTATTTTCATAGTTCCTGCGCAAATTGAGTTTTCGAGCTTAACATTTGGGCCTGCCTACTAGACAGACTCAATGAGTAGATAACAGATTCGCACAACAAGCACATTGAGAGGAACTATGGCCACTGGGCACAAAATGCCCAAGAAATACGTGGCGCGCCTTTTTCTTTTAACGGTCCTTGTTTCGTAAGAGATTCGTACCTCGGCATTCTTATCGACTCGTGAGCCAACGGCATGGGCTGCTGAGCGATGGTAATGCACGCGAGATTCGCCACGTAATTGTGTTCGCTGTGACTATAACGTGCAGATACATTTAGATTGTGTCAAGGAACATACTCATAATTGCCTGGGAATGCTGACAGTTCCTCCTGGGTTAGATCTCTGTACGCCAAGTATGCTTCGGCGTACAGGGGCTTGGGCTGCAATAAAAGAAAACAAAAAACAGTTATATTGACGGAGTTAAATAATATATTGAACGCCTTATAATCTTGTCGAATACAAGATAAGCTGATAACGTCATCAGGGAATAAACAATAGTAAAATTTGAGAAATTAAACTTGTGGTTTCATATTGAAACCTGAGCGCATATTTAGCAAAAAAAAACAAAGATAATTATGAGGATTTTAGACTTGACAGGTCATTGAGAAATCAATAAAAACGTTAAAAACTCGCTACGGATGACGTAATACAAAATATTCAGTCCTGTAATAAAACTAAAACTAAAATTGCCCTCAAAACAAGAAATGTACTGTATTTTACTTGATTTGAGGAACACGTACAATTAGAGCCTGCTACATGTTTGCCAAAACCATTAGCAAAGGAAGGAAGGCTGCTGTGCTCTTCATAAGCTTAATACAGCAGCATAAAAAATTCAAAATTCTATAATTAAAAGCTTTATATTTGTTAAGTGTGCTGCGTATACTCACAGCATAGGTCTGGCTGTAGCTGTAAGCCGGAGTTAACGCCAACCCTGTTTGTTCCCCGGGTTGCGTCCTAATCAGTTGGAGGTAAAAATTGTAGCTTTCCACGCACCAATCCCTGTAATTGCAAAAATTGGAGCGATATGGAGAATGCGTTTTACGCGCCGAACGCGGGAACGCTGAGCGTCAAACACTAGGAATTAGATCATTAAAGGTACCACTTCCCATTTTAGTTTCAGCTTAAAGGAGCGATGCAACAATTTTTGTATTTTGCGCAAATACCGCTTAAAACGGATCCCTAACGTTAATGACTTATTAAACACGCGTTCGTTCTTCACCCCACGCAATAGAAGTCCCCGGAAAAAATTTATGAAAAAAAGTGAAAGTCGTTTACCACTCCCTGTAACGCCGAATTCGAGCGCAGCTCTTGAGGAGGAGGAGGGGAGGGTACTGAGGGCCACGTGTTCTCGGGGGGGGGGGTCACGTGACCCCCCCGAAGGCACGTGACCTTGGTGGGGTCACGTGGGGGCAAACACGTGCCCCCTCAGAGGTCACGTGACCTCAGGAGCGGGTCACGTGACCTCAGGAGCGGGTCACGTGACCTCGGGGTGTCACGTGACTCCCCAGGTCACGTAACCCCCCGGGTCACGTGACCAAAATTTTTCCGCTAGATTTAGCGGGGAAATTTTTTCCGCTAGATTTAGTGGGGAAATTTTTTCCGCTAGATTTAGCGGGGAAAGTTTTCCGCTAGATTTAGCGGGGAAATTTTTTCCGCTAGATTTAGCGGGGAAATTTTTCCGCTAGATTTAGCGGGGAAATTTTTTCCGCTAGATTTAGCGGGGAAATTTTTTCGGCTAGATTTAGCGGGGAAATGTTTTCCGCTAGATTTAGCGGGGAAATTTTTCCGCTAGATTTAGCGGGGAAATTTTTTCCGCTAGATTTAGCGGGGAAATTCCGCTAGATTTAGCGGGGAAATTTTCTGCTAGATTTAGCGGGGAAATTTTCCGCTAGATTTAGCGGGGAAATTTTCCGCTAGATTTAGCGGGGAAATTTACCCATAATGCACCGCGCAATTACGCCGACGGTGACGCCGACGGCGACGCCAACGGCGACGGCGACGCCGCTCAAGCCGGAAACGGGCGCCTAAGAGCTGCGCTCTAAAAAATGAAAGCCGTTTACAACTCCCTGTAACGCCGAATTAGAGCGCAGCTCTTGAGGAGGAGGAGGGAAGGGTACTGGGGGGGTGGGTCATGTGACCTCGGGGGGCGGGGGGGTCACGTGACCTTGATGGAGTCACGTGACCTTGGGGGTCACGTGACTTTGTGGGAGTCACGTGACCTTGGGGCGTCACGTGACGTCGGGGGGGGTCACGTGACGTGGGGCCACGTGACGATGCCGATAACGTCATCAGTGACGTCACTGATGACGCCATCAGTGATGATGATGATGACGATGCTTATGCCGGTGGCGTCATCAGTGACGTCACTGATGACGTCATCACTGATGATGACGATGCGGATGCCGGTGACATCATCAGTGACGTCACTGATGACGTCATCAGTGGCGATGACGTCAACGGGGGGTCACGTGACCTGGGTAACCATCGTGACCCTCGTGAGGGTAACCCTAGTAACCCTTGTGAGGGCAACTCTCGTGACCCTCGTGAGGGTAACTCTCGTGACCCTCGTGAGGGTAACTCTCATAACCCTCGTGACCCTTGTGAGGGTAACCCTCGTGAGGGTAACCCTCGTGAAGGTAACCCTTTTGAGGGTAACTAACCCTCGTAACCCTCGTGAGGGTTACGAGGGTAAGTAACCCTCGTGGCCCTCGTGATCCTCGTGAGGTTAACCCTCATGAGATTAACCCTCGTAACCCTCACGATGGTTACGAGGGTTGCGGTTACGCCGACGGCGACGCCGCTCAAGCCGGGAACGGGCGCCTAAGAGCTGCGCTCTAAAACGAGCAGCGTTCACCCCCTCAACTCGCAGCCAGAACAAGCTGCCACATGGTCTGGAGCCGATTACATGCCGCCAGTGTTGATCATAGCCACGCGCTAGGATTGGCAAAGCGCAGGAAACGCGCTGAGTTCCAGACATTGTAATGGCTCGGCTGTTGTCGTCGTTGCAGCGATTGGACACGGGTCACTACCCGAATGCTTCTCGAGCTAGCAATTATCACGAGCCCAAGTCGAGTGCCCACGCAATTCTCGGGTCCAATCTATGAACCGGATTCAAATATCGTCACTTGGGTGTACTGCGATCCCCACGTTACGTCATCAAAGTTTGCAAAGGAGAGATTGAATGAAAATGATCGCTTTGGTCCTTGAAATTACAACACAAAGGAGTTTCTTGGCCAGTGGCGTTGCGTGTGAGTATCCTTGAGTTCCAGGTGTGCCAGTAAGCTCATGTAGAGTTGAAAAACATTCCAATTGAATATAGTTGCACCGCTCCTTTAAAAAGTTACAAATCAAAATAAGCAAAAATGTCTTCTTTTTTTAATGTTTTCACTTCAGAAGAAAATATCTAGTTCTCTTTAGATTTAATTATATATTGTTACCAGTGTTAGACAAAATACTCGATAAAAGTATTTAAGTTAAGTTATTAAAGACCTGCTTCATAAAGTATTTAAAATACTGCTCAAGATACTTTCACTGTAAAGTATCTTGAGTAGAGTACAAATACTTAGAAATGTAATTCGGTTACTTTTGAAGATACTTCCGCATTGCGTAATTTGTATCGACGTCAGTGACAACGGCAATTATAGAGCTGCGCAAATCTTGGTTACCAGAATGGTGTATTAGCACGCAACAATACAAAACGGAAAAAGAAAAGAAAAAGTACCGTAGGGCTATTTTATGCAGTCCAACTATAAGGAGCAGGATATTGTCACGAATAACAAATAATGAAGCAGCGAATAACTGAAGAAACTAAAAGTTTAATAAGGCAAAGTTTTGTCCAAAACAAAGTAGAAAAGGGTAGCGTCGCAGGCGTCAATGACGGCGAAACAGCAGGATCGAGCGCTAGGACGAGACTGATTGCGGACCGCCACTCGAGCACCTTTTGTACCCGCGTGGGTTTCTGAAACATTCGGCTCAGAATGTTTGGCGTGTAAAACATTCGTAACTCAATCAGACGACAAGGTTCTCGAACTTACGAGAAAGTCAAGCGTAAAGAATGAATAAAAGAGGAGTCCTTTCCCTGGTATCGAACCCGGAGCCTCCGCGCGACAGTCAAGCCCGGTAAACATTCGGCCACGCGCTCGCTGGGCAACGCGCGTGGCAATATTACTGATAGACGTTACAAACCATTTCTGGGACAACAAGAGCTCGCTTTAGCTATTGGGGAGGAGATCAGACCGTGGCGCCTCAAGCGGTTGACTTTAGAGCTACTTGTATAGGGACAACAAATACAATGACTCAGCGCTTGGCTGACTTAACCGAGCGCGGCGTCAGCCTTCGGCTGGAGTTCGTGTTCTCCGATGAGAGGGATTAGGGGCTCTTTTGTTACCACTCCGGCCTGCATGAACAATTCAACATGCACGGTGCCCAGCTCAGCACAAAAGCCCAACTGGGGTCAAGCTCGCATGCTCTGACGACTGTTTTTCGGGAGAGATCCGGCACTTAACGTCACTTCATTAATTGTTGGTATTTTTACATTACAGTGTGCCCCGCGCTCTATTACAAAATCGACAGCAACATGCCCGCAATGCCTTTGGGCATGTGCACAAGCCTTGTGTTGAGTAAACATCGAGGTGTGGGGGTGACAGACGGGTCAGAGCGCCTCGCCAAGAGTGACATCGCTTAATATCACGTCCTGCAGCGCACCTTAGACGCATCGTTTAACTACAATTCATATTGTCACGGGTGGTGACCAAAAGAAAACAGGAAATAAACAAGAAGAAATAAACGTTTAATGTGGCGAACTTGTGCCAAAAATAAAAGAGTACAAAAGATAATAATAGAGCGTCGCGGGCGTCGAAGTCGGCGTGGCAGCAGAGTCGAACGCTGGGGCGAGACTGACTCGACAAGGTCGCGGGCGGCCTCTTATCTAGAATGAGTCACTATCTCGAAGATTCGGCGGGGAAGGTTCGAGCGTAGCGCGCTTGGGGCGAGAATGAACACGCACTTTCTAGAACAACAGAAACGATAGAAGTTATGTTCGCAGCAAGAATAAACGAGAACCTTCTGCAAGTCTGCGCGCGGCATTATCCCCCCCTTTAAAAGCGCATCGTCCCGATGCAGCACAAACCGAACACAAAGCAAACAGAAATAACGGTAAACTAAAGAGTCATTTGGAACACATAAGGTCCACAGTCCTATCGAGCGTAGTACGGCTTCATGCGCACGACGTGGACGACTTCTGGTCTTGGAGGGCGGCGTGATGAAGTCCGTGTTCCGTCGGGCATCACCTCGTAGTTCACATCCCCGAGTCGACGAAGTACTTTGTAGGGCCCGAAGTAGCGCTTTAGGAGTTTCTCACTGCGACCACGGCGACGGATCGGTGTCCACACCCACACCCTGTCTCCGGGCTGGAAGTGGACGTCCCGACGACGAAGGTTGTAGCGGCCAGTGTCGACACGTTGTTGGGCTTGAATACGGTGTCTGGCGAGCTGGCGGACCTCTTCTGCCCGTTGGGCAACCACCTGGGCGTCGTCGCTTGCATCGACAGCCGCTTCGTGGGGTAACATAGCGTCCAGCATTGTCGTTACCTTGCGCCCATGCACCAGCTGAAAGGGTGTCATTCCGGTGGTCTCTTGTACGGCCGTGTTGTAGGCAAATGTGACGTACGGCAGCACCTCGTCCCATGTCTTGTGCTCCACGTCGACGTACATGGAGATCATGTCGGCGATAGTCTTGTTGAGTCTCTCCGTTAGCCCGTTGGTCTGCGGGTGGTACGCCGTGGTGCGGCGATGGCTGGTGTGGCTGAGACGAAGGACTTCTTGCGTCAGCTGGGCCATGAATGATGATCCACGGTCTGAGATCAGGACTTCGGGAGCGCCGTGCCGGAGGACGATGGATTCAATGAAAAACTTGGCAACTTCCACAGCAGTTCCGGAAGGAAAAGCTTTCGTTTCGGCATACCGCGTGAGATAATCTGTGGCGACGATGATCCAGCGATT